CACACACACACACACATAGGACCAGTATGGAACCAGGTCAGGACCCAGTACCAACACCAGTATTCCACAGACCTTAAAAACCCAGAGAACCTGGAACACTTCACACAGTGTTACCTTGTTGGTTGTGACATAAAACTAAATGGCAGGCTTTTATTGTGAAAGAGAAGAAGGAAGTGTATATAGCCCCGCCCACTGTGTATTGTTTCACCTGTTCAGCTGTCGTCCACTGACAGTCAGTCAGTCAGTACTGCAACCAGAACACAGACTGACACAGTTGTACTATACAGTAGTCTGTAGTTGTGTTTGTACTGTCTGTGTTTTATTGTCTGTTCTGTCTGTACTTTCTGTGTTTTAGTGTCTGTACTTTCTCTGTTTTAGTGTCTTTACTGTTGTCTGTACTGTCTGTGTTGGCGTGTGTTGATATTTCTTTTAATCTGCTGTCTCAGCATGAGTCAGGAGTGTCCACGCCCCCTAAGAAGCCCTGGCCTCCTATTGGTGGAGACAGGAGGGTGAGTGTGTCAGTCAATGCTTCCAGCCAATCAGGGATCTTTTTGGATGGGGAAGCTTGCATGGCTGTTGGCTTGCATGTCTGTCACTCATAATAAACCAGTGGGCTTCAAGGACTTTCAGGGGTTCTGGGTCCTGAAGTTCTGGTGGTCCATCAGTAGGATTTTGAAGAAAGTCAGTGATTTTATGGAGTTACAAGTGAGGGAGTTTCAGGGTCCTCAGAGTCCTTGAAGAAATTCCAGGGGTTTGGAGAATTGCAGTAGTCTTTTGGGGGAACTGGGTGTTGGAAGGGTTTCACAGGGTTCTTGAGGTAGTTCCAGGTTTTTTAGGGTTCCTAATAGTGACGTGGGGATGTTGTGGCAGTCAAGGGCTCCTTGATGTAGTTTAAGGACTCCATTTAGGTTCATGGGTGTTAAATTCCAGGGGACCTTAAGAGAGTACCAGGTATCAAGGTAGCTTGATTGATCTTGTAGAATTGCAGGGTGATAAAAATCCTTTAAAAGACATTTAAGGGGTCCTTTAGGTACTGGTACTGGTGGAACGTCCTCCATGGGTTCTTTAGAGCTTCAAGTCATCCTTGAAGGAGTTTGCATGTTCTTGTTAGGATTTCAGTTGGATCCAAAGGGATTTGATTGATTGTCCAGGGAGGTTCAAGGATCTTGTGAGTTTCCAGTAATTCTTGAAGGAGTTCTTGTGGTTCTTGAGACGGAAGTGGCCCAACGTCCTTTTAGGTAAGAAGGTAGTTTGGCTCCCAACAGTCCTTGAGAGCACCCAGGTTTTCCAGGATCAGGAAGGGGTGATGTCATATTATGACCCAGCACTGACATCATCAGGAGGTATAACGTTGTGTGTTCATGGGCTGCTCTGATTGGCTGACTGATCCATCTGTTATCGTCTATGAGGGGTAACCTTCAGTGTAAAGGTGCTTTCAGACAGCAGTGTGGTCGCCAATGGCAACTCAGCGAGCAACAGCGGTGAGTTTAAACAGTTGAACTATCGTAAACTTTGAATTCTCGCTCTCGTTGTCGCTGCCACTGCGTTTATGCTGAGAACAATGGCGACTGTGGAGGAAACCCGCTGTCTGAAAGCACCTGAATGGATCCATGTTGTTGCCATGGTTATCTGCTCTGCTGTAGAGCCAGACATCTGTGATCCTCATTATTCAAATGTCTGTCTCCCGTTTCTCTCCCCCCCCCCAGGACCCCCTGTGGAAGGTGCGTCGCAGTCAGAAGTTAGACATGTCGGCTCGTCTGGAGCTGCAGTCGGCCCTGGACGCTGAGATCAGAGCCAAACAGCTGGTTCAGGAGGAGCTGCGCAAAGTCAAGGCCACCAACATCAACCTGGAGAGGTCAGAGGTCACACAGAGACAAACCATTACCTGTCTGTCTCTCCTTACAGTCTGTCTCTGTTCTCACTTGTCTGTCTGTCTGCAGTAAGCTGAAGGAGTCGGAAGAGAGGAGCAGGGAGATGGCGGAGCAGATGGAAAGTCTGAAGAAGGAAATGGAGGAGAGTCGCTTCCGCTCTGACAAAGGTGAGACCAGGTCCTGGAGTCCCTCAGGGTTCAACCCATGGTCCTCTGTTAATCCACATCCTGTACATGAGCCGTCCCCCCTTTCTGTCATTACACACATGAACCTGTTTGTGTCTGCAGGTCTTAAACTTCCAGACTTCCAGGACTCCATCTTTGAATATTTCAACACGTCTCCTCTGGCTCCTGACCTAACCTTCAGAGTGAGTCTGTGTGTCTGTCTATGTCTGTCTGTCTGTCTGTCTGTCTGTCGGTTTAGACTAGGTTTAACTTTCGTACAATCAAGTAAAATCATCATCATGTGACCTGGGCTCATTCACTATGCCAATCACATTCACTCATGTGATTGGTCGGGCATCAGTGGGCAACCAATCACATAATAAGCCCAGGTCACATGATGATGAGGTGAACAAGTGCTGTCCTGAATTATCAAATGCTCCTGGAAAATGTCAGAATGAGATCTCTTAAAGGAAGTGGGAACCCTAAAAATTAGCCTAACGCAGATTAAAATGACTGCTGTTCACATTCAGAACACGTTAATGTTTCTTCTTTCTTTGACCTGCAGACCACAGACATAGACTCCCCCCCCGAGAAAGAGACCACGCCCCCATCGCCATCGACCGCCTCCGAACATGAGGTCAGTCTCACACACTGGAGGTCTGTAGGTTGTATATGTTCCTTTACCTGACCTCAGTCAACCACCTGTTTGTGTCAACAGGAAGTTAAAGCAACATCAGTCCCACCGAGCCCCTCCCCCACATACCAGAGCTCAGCACTGACCACACCAAAGGTACGCTACTGTGTCCCCAGGTGTGACCTTACCTGTGATAATGAATCAGATATAAACAGTAAAACAAGAATCACTTTCATTAATTCTGTCGTTCACAGCCCAAAGCTCACCAGCTGAGTATCAAGACGTTCTCCAGTCCAACCCAGTGCACCCACTGCACCTCCCTGATGGTGGGACTCATCAGGCAGGGATACGGCTGTGAAGGTACGCAACCACATACACACAGCTTAGTGTTAGCCTCCAGGTAACAATCTTTGAGACAGTGAGACACAGGATCAAGATCTCCAAGACCAACAGGGAATGAAGTATGAAGCTGGTTATCCCACGGATGAGTCAGTTAGGTTAGCTGCACGGCTGATAGAGTTAATGGCAGTTAGCAGTTGGCTATCTGTCCATCAGAAACTCTGTAACTGACCTCGGCACTGTACCGTTATTCCCTGTTGGTCTCGGAGGCTGTGTTCGATCCCGGTCCGGCTGCTGAGCCCGGTTCTGTCGACCGCTAGCGGCAGATACAGTTAGCAGCAGTTAATTAGGGGTTAGCTACTTTAGCTAAAGCTATCTGTCCGTCCGGTAACTCTGTAAATCACAGAGAGTCGAAGCTGAGCAGCCGGAGGACGTCAGAGGGAAAACCAGGAAATATTTTCCCCATAAAATCTGGTCCAGTTTCACCAAAATCACTGAATACAGTTAGAAAGCTGAGCTAGCTAATGTATCTATACGGTAGGTGTCTGTAACAGCCTTCAGAAACACTGTGCTCCGGCGGCGTCAGAAGGGGGAAAGCGTTTGATTGGACGCAGCATTAGTAGATAGATGTGATACAAAGACTGATTATGACTTCATGGGAACTTTGATGTAGAATAAACGGTAAGTAATATGACACAAATAATAAAGTACTCACATTATTAACATTATTTGTGTTCTTAAACACTCTATGATTGTTCTTATAAAGACTGTCTGACTGTCTTTCTTCAGTGTGTTCCTTCATCTGCCACGTTTCCTGTAAAGACCACGCCCCCCTGGTCTGTCCAATTCCAGCAGAGCAGGCCAAGAGGCCGCAGGGCATCGACGTCCAGAGGGGCATCGGCACCGCCTACAAGGGCTACGTCAGGGTAAGTGACGGAGTACAGATGCAGTGCTGATGCAGTAGTTGTGCTGTAGTTCCACAGTACTGTATTCACATGTTGCTGTCTTTCTGTCAGATCCCAAAGCCCAGCGGTGTGAAGAAGGGCTGGCAGCGAGCGTTCGCCGTGGTCTCCGATTGTAAACTGTTTCTCTACGACGTCCCAGAGGGAAAGTCCACCCAGCCAGGGGTGGTGGCTAGTCTGGTGTTGGATCTCAGGTAACTGTGAACCTGTGTGTCAGCTCACAGGGAGTCAGAGGCAGTCTCAGAAATTCTTGGTTCTGGTTATCATGAGAGGATTTGTGGAGGTCAGGGAAGATTTATGATCATAAGATTTGAGGAGGTTTCAGGTAGTTTTAAGAAAATGTGGATAGTTTGAAACAATTTGGATAGTGGTGGTCTGTTGACATGGTTCTAGAAGTTTTAAGAAAGTTACTGTAGTTCCAGAAAGGTTAGGGTACTTCTGTAAAGATCTAGGTAGTTTTGAAGAGTCAGATAGTGTTGAGAGGACTTAGGTAGTTTTGAGAAGGTTTAAGTGGTTAATGGTTTGGGTTGAGACGGTATTGACAATGTAGAGATAGTCTTGAGAAGTTTTTGTTGGTCTTTTGAAAAGGTTCAAGAAGCTTTAAGAAAATGTGGGTAGTTTAATAGTGAGAAGGTTCCCCTAGATTTAAAAAGGTTAGGGTAGTTCTGAAAGGATTCAGAAAGTCTTTAGTTGGGTAGTTTTGAGAAGGTCCAACCAGATTTGAGGTTTTTCTCAACAGTGGAATTAGAGTTTTCAGTTTAATACACTGTCTACATTGTCATATATCGATACTGGAAACAATGTTGTTTGTGTTACAGAGATGAGGAGTTTTCCGTCAGCTCTGTCTTGGCGTCAGATGTGATCCACGCCACCAGGAAGGACATCCCCTGCATCTTCAGGGTAGGAAACCCCACTCACCACTCACTGTCTGACCTCTGACTGCTTCTGTCATTTTTTCCAACCCAGTTTGGATGAAACCAAGCCCTGTATGACGAAAGCCTGAATGGCTCACCCATCACTTCTTCCTCCTCTGGAGCTGTTGAGTTAACAGAGTCAAGAACAGAGGCTGTATTGTGTGCAGCTCTGGTTGTGTTTGGGTTGGTAAAACAAACAGTCAGTGGTGCTGCTGATACAGCAGTTTGTTAGATGTAGTTTCTCAGGTAAACACACCGACCTATTTGGCTGTCACCGTCACTCCTAACAGGTGTCCACAGGCTGGTCTGCCCCCCCCCACACACACCAAGCACTTCTTTGCCTTGGTAGTAGCTAGTCAATTCAGCGAACCCTGCAGTTGCCTTCATTCCTGCTGTGTCTTCTCTCTCCGGAGGGGCAGCCTGCCCTGAGCAGCAGCAGGCCAGACAGGAACGACTGTGACAACTGAATGTGCTTATGGGGGAAACTAAAGCAAAGCTCACAACCTGCCAGAGCTACGCTACAGGCCAAAAGTTTGGAAGCAAGCTCAAATTTGTACAAGAAAAGATCAGTGTTTCATTGGTATACTTTGCAACCAAATAAACATGATTAAAGAGTCACTTATCAGAATACATTTTTACTATAATTATCAGGTATTTGGGTTTTTCTTGCTTAGACTTTGCTTTCTTCAAAGTGACCTCCTCCTCTTTAACAACAACATGGCATATACAAGGCATTCGTTCCGCAAGTTTTTTTAAGGTATGTGCCGGGAATTGCATTCCAAGCTTTCTTTTTTGTTATTTTTTTGGGCCTTTTCATGGCTTTATTGGGTAAGACAGCTGAAGATCGACAGGAAAGGTGGGTAGAGAGAGAGGGGATGACACGCAGCAAAGGGCCACAGGCCGGATTCGAACCCGGGCCGCTGCAGCAATACTGTATATGGGTCGCCAGCTCTACAAACTGAGCTAACCTTGCGCCCCGCATTCCAAGCTTTCTTAAGTTAGGGTTATTTTCTTACTGGTCGATCCAATGTCCCACACAAGCTCAGTTGGAGAGAGGTCTGGAGACTAAGGGGGCCAACCATCTTTCAAAGAACACCTTCCTCTTCTTTTTTGTCTAGGTAACCCTGACAGAGCTTGGAAGAATGCTTAGGGTCATTATCTTGCTGCAAAACAAACTTTCGACCCACAAGTCTTAGTCCAGATGGAACTGCATGATGCTGGAGGATGGAGTGGTACTGTTCCTTCTTCATGAAACCTACTCTATCACCTGCAAAATATCCCCATTACCACCTCCATGCTTTATTGTGGGTGTTATGCATGGAGCTTTGAGATGTTTACCAGTTTGTCTGCGGACATAGACTGCGATTTGAACCAAATAGTTAAAACCGGCTTTCCCCGGTCCAGAGAACTTGTTTCCAGTCAGTCAGCCCGTTCATCTCTCATCTTTTTTTTCTTGTTCTTTGGATAAAGTAGTGGTTTTTCTCAAATGTCTTTTCACAGTTGTCAGAGATATGGGTTTTGACCTTGTCATGTTGATTTCCTACCTTATTTGTGGTGCTGTTTTTCGGCGATCTCTCTTACTGGTGACAATGATATGTTCATCCTCTGCTTTTGTAGTAACCCTCTTTCTTCCAGACCTTTTTCTATCATCATAACTTACAGTTTCTTCTAGTCTCTTAAGGGTGTAGTGAACTCCTATGTTGAACACCATTAGGCGTTTTGCAATTTCTCTTTCAGTGTATCCTTCTCTCCTCAATGTAGAAATCTGTACTCTTGTTTCTTTACACAGTTGAGATTTATTGGGAGTTTTGTATGCAAACTTTTAAAAGTCAAAGATCTGAATTGAGTAATGCAAACTGTGATTAGTTTTTTACTTTTGCACTGAACTTGTGACTCTTGCAAATCATCTCAACCCTAAAGCTAAGCCCTTCTTTTCTTTTGTTAACATTTATTCAGCAATGTTACATCATTACAATGTAACATCAATGTATACCTAAAGGTAAATTAAGGAAAATGGTGCATATCAGTGAAAGTCTGATCATGCAGTAAACACATCCCAAAATTCAAATAATTCATACTGGTTTTTAAGAAAGGTATTGTAAACAGAAACTTGAAGTTGCTTCCAGACTTTTGGCCTGTAGTGTACATGATGCAGTGTTAATAAGCAATAAGTTCATCACATGCAGCACCCCATGTTGCTATTACTCTGCTAAGTGTCCTCTTATCTGGAAAGAACACTTTCTGACCTTTGTTGTTGCTGTGATCAGGTGACCTCGTCACAGCTGATCTCGCAGCTCTCCTCGGTGTCTCTGCTGGTGCTGGCGGAGAGCGAAGTGGAGAAGAGGAAGTGGGTCAGGATCCTGGAGAGTCTGCAGAGCATCCTGACCAAGAACCTGCTGAAGAACCGTCAGGTCCATGTTCTGCACGAGGCATATGATGCCTCGCTGCCCATCATCAAGACCACGTTGTCTGCTGCTGTGCTCGGTCAGTAAGGATTTTCTGCTACGTTCTACAGCTAATTACTACTGACAGACTGTACTGAGTACCGTTACTGAAAGATTCATCTTTATTTAAGTTTTCAGAAGTACCAAGAGGATTTAATAATAATCAATAAAGACCTGCTCTATTTGTGTGTCATAACTTCTGTTATGAATTGGCGCTATGCAAATAAAATTAAATTGAATTGAATTGAGTTCCCTGATGGACTTGTTGCTAAAAGTAGCTAACTGC